AAAGAGGAATTCACTGAGCGAGAAGTGATCAAAAGTAATTGGGTATTGGGAAAGAAGAATTCACTGAGTGAGAAGTGATCAGAAGTAATTGGGTATTTCTGGCATTTTAAAATGTGAAAGAGGAACTGACAGAACTGAAATGGTTTTGAAATGTTACTTGTAAATTTTGATTTATGTTAATAAAGCATTGCCAAGACAAACATTTTGAGATCTCTGATAGGCAAATTGGGCAAAGTATTACGTAGAAAGAAGACAACTTTACAAAAAATATACATGCAAGATGACTAATATGTGAACGTTTTTTCCCCCCAAAGTGACTCTGATTCTGACTTACTGTGTAACAGTGGCTCACCCTTCTCACACTCATCGGTGTGTGTAGCTGCTGTGTCTATTCTGAAAGTGATGCGCACACTGGCTGGCTGGCTAGGTGCTGCTACCAGGAAAAATCTGCAATAGCCAGGTGCTACCTGCCTTCCCTCCATTTGACTTGGAAAGTATCTCTAAAAACTGTCCAGTGCCTGATTTTCATGTGACTTACAGGTTTTTATATAATATTTGCATTACAACCTTTTTTGCATTATAACAATTTTATGAAAAGAATACATTCTAAAACTTGTATTTTGTTATACTAGGATAGATTATTTTGCAAAATAAAATAAAAATTGAATATTCTCTGCCTGCTGAATAGAACTTCCTTTTAAAATCTATTTGTACAAGGTAGTTTTGCAAATGGCCTTGTTAGGACATGTCTTGCTTGTGTAACCAGAAGATTAAACTAGTTAGGTTGTGGATGGCAACAAACTTTTAATATTAAATTTCTAGCTCTACTTAGAATAGTTACAATCAAAACATAATGTTTAAGCTTGCTTTTCCAGCAGTTCAGCCCGTACACAAAAATTCTCTTGATCCCTGTTGTCCTAAAGGGCATAGTATTCTGCTTTTATGCCTGACTTTGCTGATGGTAACCTATGACATAGTTTAGTAAAGCAGGTCTGTGAAAAATTAATGTCATGTGTCATCATACTGCATCACACTTTAATTTTATACTTCTCTTTCCTTCTCCCCCATTTGTTTTGTAGAAGCAAAGGAAGAATGGAGTTGACAAAGGTTTGTGAGTCATTGTTTTTTGTATGCCAACCCTAATGTGCTTAGACACTTTGGAAATGGGAAGAAGTAGTGTCCCTCTGCTATGGGCAAGAGGCAACACGTTGGCAAGTTACTCAGGGTAGTGCTCAGTGCTTAAATGCTTACTGAGGGCTTTCTGTTTCATTAGAGATTTTTTTTTTTTTAATGCATATTTTGGGAAAGGGAAGCAGTGGTAGCAGCATTTGCCAGGGTTGAAATAAGAAATGTAGCAGGAAATGAAAGTAAAGCTGTCAAAAGCAAAATGGGACTGAGTGACTTAACAGTTGGCCAATTTCAAAGTACATGGTGAGGTATAAAACTACTGAACGTTGTTGAAGTTCTGTTGTTTCTGAATCAGGCGAAGTTTGCCAATTACAGGCCAGATTCCAGGGAGGTGAATGTAGTTACTTGGTAAAAACTCAAAACAACCCCCCCCTCACAGTAACGACATAGACCTTATGTTGTTAATCTTTTAAAGAACTCCTATTGCTAATAAAGCCAAAGGTCCACATAGATGTTACTCTTAAGTACTGGAAATATAGGTTTAGCTTCTGTTTGGCATTTGAAGTGAAGTAAAAACTTCATTTTCTTGCAAGTAAGTGGAAAGGGATTGAAAAGTTAATAACGTGAATGGGAGAAACACTCAAAACCTAAACTATTTAGAGCTGATTGAGTGATTGAGAGACAGGCTTCTCCTGTCTACTTCCTCTTATTCTTTCAACGCTTTATTACTTCTATATTCTGAACAGGAATTGGTATAAACTACATAGTACTCATGAAATGTTACAAATCTGAATTTTTCTGGAGATACAAAACTGCCACATCTGCATTACAAATTTTATCCCTATAGTAAAGTCATGTCAAATTAATTGCATTGCTATAAGTATGAATAATGATCAGACTTGTAAATGTCTGCTGGCAAAACATAGAAAACAATTTACTTAAATACTAAGGCATGCACATTTCCTGTCACAAGTATGATAATCATACCAACTTCCCTTGTATCTGCTTCTGTAAATCTCACTAAGACAGTAAATGAGTGAAATGGTAATTACCACTGACTTTTGCATCTGGCTTCATTTAAACCTGTTTTAAATGCTTCTGGGTATGTTTCTGCATCTTTAAAGCGCACATCATTTTAAAATCTAAATTTGTATGGCAAATACAGGTTTTGGAAGTTCCAGCTTCTTTCTTCAGCTATGCTCCGGGGTATTTTTATTTCGTCAGTTTTGAGATGAAACTTCTGTAAAGTCATAAGTGGTTGTGTTTGTTTAGGGAAGAAAAAGAAAATGTACAGCAATACAGTAATATAAATATAGCAACATATGTAAATAACATACACAGTGTTAACTTTGCAAGCTTCATCCATGGCTTTGGAGCCCTGATGTATTACAGAATGAAAAAAACCACCAAACTCAGTCAAAGAATTTCATGCGGTTGTACAATGTGAAACAAGTGGGATAAAGCAAAAAGGAAGACAGAGTAGCAAAGAGACAGCACATGCCTTCCCTCACTCCCTCAGAATGGTGATAAAGCATTGAGAAAATTAGCAGCCTTTTTATCTTGGAGATTGTGTGCTATGTTGTACGTGGCTGTGAGCTGTACTACATGTATCAGTCTGTCTAGATGAGAGTGGCAACTCCTTCCTGAGTGTCTTTGAGGGAGATGAATGCGATTAAACTTGATGAGTCTAATCCAGTGTGTACCTGAAGAAAGATTAAAGAAAAGTGTTGACAGTATTATAGAAACTAATCCAAGGTAATTTGTCTTCTGCTGCAGTCTACAGTCCAAACTAGTAGTTTTTCCTTATTCCCCAGGGATTTCTGTATGTGTTTCTTGGTAGAGGCTTATTTTACTGGATGTTCACCTATTTAGAGAGGTCTTAATTTACTTTTTTTTTCCCTATTTAGAATGGGTAGGAGCTGAACTTGTAATTCATCTCAGCCTGGAAACCAACACTAATGTAGAATAGGACGAAGTGAAGACATCTTGTCTCTGTTTCAACAGCAGCCATTAGCTGGGGGAGATTTGCATTTTGTAGTACATGCCTAAATGATTACAGTTTTATTTCAGTCCTGTGTGGGAGCTGATGGAATTTAAATCTCATGTTCTGTCCTCCGCAGTGTGCAGGCCCAGCATCACATAAACACAGTTCTGTTCTGAAGATGTTAAATTTCATCATTATGTAGCCACTATTGATTGAAAAAAAAAAAGTTCTAATGAAACTCCTAGGAAGACCTGAGGTCTGAATTTTCATACTGAAAGATTTAAGTAACAAAGACCAAGAAATTCAATGCATTTCTGCTCTACTATAGAAGAGTGGAACCACACAAAAAAGAGAAAGCTTACTATAAAGAATCTGAAAGGCACAGATAAAAGGCTTGTCTGAGTGGTTGAAGGAGACTGTGCTAGAAGCACAGAGCCAGTCCTTGGCATCATTCAGAAGAGCTTGAAAAAGGGTGAAAAGACTCAGTGTGGTGATTGGTGGGGATGAAGAAGCATCATTCAGAAAGCTGAAGTTATGTCCAAGTGAAGGAGTTTAAAAGGACCTTTAGCCTTGGCAGGTTAGAAGTAAAAGCTCAAATGGGCAAACCAAAAAGTGACTTGGGGAGTGGGTAGGAGTGTCAGAGTAGGCATAGACCGTTTAATCTAGTAGAGAGCCCATGGAGGTGAGATATGATAGAAATCTGCAAAACTGTGTGTGGCACAGAGCAAATTGATAGTCATTGTGGCTTTTTACCATTTCTCCCAAAATGAAAATGAGGAGGTGCACAACGTAACCGAGGGCCAGGTTCAAGGCCAGGCTGGACAGGGCTTTGAGCAATCTGGCCTAGTGGAAGGTGTCTCTGCCCATGGCAGGTGGGTGGAACTAGATGATCTTTAAAGTGCCTTTCAACCCAAACCATTCTATGAAGTCTAAAACCCAAAGTGGTTCTTCACATAAGGAACACCTGAGGGCTCTCTTTTGCTTGAAGTTTACATGGGTTGAAGGAGTGTCCAGATAAGTTTGTAGAAGAGGGGCCTTTTGAATTTTGCTAAATACATAGAAATTGCTGGAAGTAACCTGAACTGAAAATAATGGGAGGCCATGGGATTGTTGAGAAGGGTGTCTCTTATGTGCTGATATACTTCAGCACTGGTGTTGGTGGCTGAACTTGCAGATGGAAATGGTGACTGGTACAAAAGTAACTGTACATCCTATTTTTCAGTAAGGATCTGAGAGAAAGTTAATCTGGGAATAACAGGTTTGGAACAAATGCCTTTGAGCATCTTAAATGAAAAAGCACTGAAGGAACAATGTTCAAAAAATGTGATGTCTAATGGTTTTGTTTTCATGCTGCCTTCCCAGGAATCTCATGATCACATTCTATTGGATATTCCTGTCACTAGAGAACAGATGAATCACTATCGAGCTGCAGCTGAAACTGCTCAAAGTGAACTTGCAGCACTTTCAGTGAAGTATGATTGTGCCCACTCAGAGGTACATTTAAAAATACTTCCAAATCCTTCTCCAAACATAAGGATTTTTTATGGTCACTTTTTGCAGGGCCTAGAAACCTTTCTTTGGATACAGAACTCTTGTTTCTCATAACATTCTTTTTAGAATTTCAGTGTGATTTTCACTCTCCTGGCTTCTGTGTTAACAAACTGATTATAAGTTCATATTCAAAATTAAAAAAGGCCCTATCAATGAAATAAAATCTCTTTAATTGTGGGTAGCTGAATATGGGAAACAGAAAGAACATGTAATATAATAGGAGAATGCATTGTTGCTACAATATTCAGCCAGGACTATAGGGGTAAGTGTACATCGGCTGAGCTTGAATTTGACCAGTTGATCCTGAAATTACTGCAGAGTTTCCCTCCATTTAATGGCTATCCAAGACCAGTACTTTAAATTTCAATTTTATAAAGCCATACAGAATCTTGTGTTCTCATAGAAAGAATGTATTACTGGAAATGTTGAATAGCTTTTTTGCCAATGTGACTGATTGATTTATAGATTCTTCCAGCACTGTACTTGCAAAAGCAAAAGGATAGTTAAGAAAGCAGCTTCATGCTCTTGCTAATAAAGACCTTCGTGACCCAGCTGAGGTCAGAGCCTTGTTCTGCTGAGTGCTCTGTAAAATGGGATATGGGATTATTCTTGCTTTTTCTGCTGTTGGAACTGACCACAAGGACAATGGACAGAGGAAAAAATATCACATTTTGCAGATGGGGAGTTGAACCGCAGAGAAATTTTAAGGTTATGAACATTTTAAGCTACCATAGTTTGGTCCAGCTGCCAAGCAAAGCAGTCCTTTTGTTCCTTTAGCTGCTCGTTTCCTTCACTACACTGTCCCGTCCCTTGTGCTGGCACAGATATATATGTAGTTCTACAGTGCACTGTTTTGTTGGGGAACTGATGTAACTGCAAAATAGTCTTCCTTCTGGGCTGTATTTTAGCCAGACCAGTTTCCCAATCTTATTTCACCTTGTAGTTATTTAAATACTTCTGCTAGCACAAACAGGGTGAAGCATGGAAACAAAGCCCATCAGCCTGGGAAAAGGCAGAGCTGTTTTTCTCAGTCAGTACTCCTTTATGTCAGCTCCAAAGTGTCTCTTAAACCAATGCTTGCAGGTGAAGCTTATTGAAGACTATGTTGCTGCTGCAAGAGTGATCCTCCTGCCCAAATCCTTGGTGCTAGCCTTTTCCTTGTGGCGTGGCCAGCTTCCCTTCCTCTTCTTCCTCTGCAGAAAATGAATCCTTTTCTGTCAGCTGTGTTAATCAAGTTGTTTATGGAGGAGTTAGACAAATACCAGAGCTGGTACAAGGGAGAGGACGTGTGTGTGTGGCTGGTAGCAGGAGGAGCAGGAATTCTATTTTCCAAGGCACTCAGCTCACTGGCTTCCTGGAATTTCTCTGAGTATCTTTGCTTTCGTCACACTGGAAGCCTCTGGCAGAGCCATGAATTTCCTGACATCCTGAATTGCAGTTTAATATCTTAAATATTTATTGCCTTAAAATGTTTGCCACAACTTAGAAGCCCTAGCACACGTCATAAAGAACAGTTAATGTGGCTTAATTATTTGTCTGTAAATTTTATTTAGCGGGAGATTAATGCTTTGGATTGCATCTTGCTGCTTTTATCTGCAATTGTCAGGAAAGCTGAAACTTGCCTTAACAGTTCTTGTGACAAAAAAAAAAATCCACTTTGAATGACTTGTTCCTTTTAGCAAAATAAAACACACTGAAATTTTGCATCTCTGGTGTGTCTGCCTCAAGCTCAGTCTTTTAGAAAAGCTTGTAGGAGAAATAAGGCAGAAAAATGGAATTTTTGGCTAAAAGAGAGGAAAGGAAAGAAACTCCATCAACTGTTGGGAAGTTCTGACATGATCTCTGCAAGAGGTCCTTGACATTTGGTGGTGATGTTCCTCCTCCAACCCTTCCTTAAAAGGCTTTCTTGTTATGAAAATTATATGACAGTTATATGAAAATAAAGTTGCGTACCTCCACTCAGTCCTGTAGTGAGAGAAGACTCTGAGTCTTTTGTTCCAAAATGTGCTTCTTGTCACATTATTAAACTTGTAGTGCGGTCACGTATTTCAACCCGGGCAAAATTCTTTTTTTTTTTTTTTTTTTTTTTAAAATGAAGTTTCCTCTTTTCTGTCTATAGCTTCTTAAACTCAGGTCCAGAATGGTCTCTAAAGAAGCCTCTTTTCAAGAGCTGAAGTCTGAAGCTGAAAGCTACAAGGAAAACAATGCTAGACAGGTGTCTCGCCTCCTGTCTTTGCAAGCCCGAATGCGGGAGATGGAAGAAGAAGTGTGCGTGCTCACCACTTCTAAAAACCAGGCTGAGCTGAAAGCTCAGGTGGCATTAAAGGAAAACTTGGAGTTGAAGGAGGAGCTTCATGAGCAAAATGCCAAACTTAAGTAAGACTCATGTGAGATGAGAAACAATTTTTGTTGGGGGTGACAGAATGGTGCAGTTGTCAGGACAGAAAAATACGTTGGTTCAGAGACTTTATTGCAGATCTGAATTCAGTTACAATGTCTTGCACAACCATTGTGCCTGAAAGCGTGGAAGGTATTGGAACTTGAATTTTGGTTTGAGTTGTTAGCCCATAAATGGGGTTTTGCATTGAGGGAAACCTTGTGCCTTTCATAGCACGCTTAGGATGGGCAGTACCTGGAAATACGGTCTAGTGCCCCGGTCCAGCCTCATCATGTGGCGTCTTTTGCAGATGTTTACTTGTTACTTGAAACACTGTGTGGGCTGTGCTGTGGTGAGTGACTGTGCTGCTGCATTGCTCTGGTCTGTTTTCCCCTCTTCTGTGTCACGGCTGGAACCAGAACAGTGCCAAGTGTATTTCTTCCTTAATGTAAACCTGTCCATTAGGAGCAGAGTAATTAAGAAAATATGGTGTAATTCCTAGTTGTTAGCATCCTGAAGGGAGCATGTTACTGTTTGTTTAGTGGCTGTGCAGCTTTCAGTAATGTTAGTCTTTTCTGACTTTAGCTTTCTTCTGGATGTTGTGTGTAATTTTTATTTTATTTAAACATGTATACTGATTGGATAAATTTTTTATTAAAAGATAGTATCCTTAACTATGCTGTTGTTAGCAGTGCGTCAGAACACTGATATGTCAGTTCTGCATAAATACTAATATTTCAGGTTTGTGGGATGGAGACTGATAGCAATGTTTGTTACAAAGAAAAATGACTGGTATAAAAATATACCAAGCTCTAAAATCCCGAAATCAATGTCAGTCATATTATATTGACACCTTGTAGACTTTTAGAATGGATTTTTTCCACCATTACAAGGCTAATATCCATCTCTGTCTCGATACTGTCTTTTTCATAGCAAGGTGAGTGTTTACAAGATGTCTGCATTTCCCAACTCAGTACTCCACACAGCTCTTCCAGGCTTTGTACATTAGAAGTGTATAATTAAGTTATTTTAAAATCTAGAGAAATCCATTGCAGTGCACTTGTCTATTACCAGCTGGTTTGACAGAAGCCTTGTGTGAGAGAGTGCTGATGTTGATCGCCAAAGATTTTAGATATGATCCAAATATAAGTGAGGAGATGATAGTTAAGCCAAGAAGTATATTATGCTTCTTAGCAACATAAGGAATATCAGGGTCTCTGACATATGGTTAAGGTTCTTTAAAGTGCTACTTCTTGGAGTGGAGAGGAGCGAAGAGGAGGGAGAATTAAAAAAGGAAAAAAACCTCCTATGCTGTTTGCTTAACTTGTTAGGAGAAAACTGCCATGTTTATCATACTAGCCGATTGTTATAGTGATATAATTGGTTTTATGTGGCATAAATCTGTGCTGTCACTCCCAGTACAGTCCTGGCTGCTCTTTTTTTGCTCATGACACTTGTGTCAGCACTTCTGTTTGTGTTGCTGCATGGTGACTGGGACCAGGGAACTGCTCCAAGAGAGAAGGGAGCAAAATAAATAGCTTGTTTTCCAGCTCTGCAAATGCCAGGTCCAATTCACTGTGCACCTGGCAAAGAGTGCAGGCAAAAGGGAAAGTGAGGGTGAATCTATTCTGTTGGAAGGAACAAACATGTTGCATTGGCCATGAATCCACAGTGTATGCTTTCAAAGGTTTTTCTCAACATCAGCTAATGGTTACATGTGCGCTTAGTACTAGTCAGTGTACAACTTAATGAGCTTTAGTTGCTTGATCTGACAAACTTAGTAGTACATGGCATATGCCTAGTCCTGATTAGGTATGCAAGAAAGATTTTCACTGAAAACCATTAATAAAAGGGAAGAGCAAGCCAGTAGGCATGAAATGCACTTTTACATCCTATACCTAGAGATATGGTAAAAAAATGTTTAATGAATTCTGTGATTGGTTTCCAGGAGTACACCTCTCCTGTTGAAAATGGTACTTTTTAACTCAACAGGTCTATTGCCAAGGTATTTTTAGAGCCTGAACTGTGAAAAGCTTTTTCTTTCTTTTCCCCTTTCCTCCCTTTCTTTGTGCTCATTAGTTCTGAAGAGCTAGCAAAACTGTGAAAGACCTGCCTTCTTTTTTTGTGCCTGATTCCCTATTTTCTAGGTGCTCACATCTTTATGGCCCTGCCAGAGGTAATTAGGTTATTCGTTGAGTTGTCAAGTATGTGCTTTGCACTTCAGATTGTTTATTTTTAGAAGGCGGTATGGTTCTGTGCATGGTGTGCCTCAATTTTTCAGAGCCATGTAACAGCTTGCAAGGTTGGTGGTCAATCTTGTACAATATTCTAACATACAGGCATGCGTGTAGGGCGTGCCTGGAACCTCATAGCTTTTCACTTCTGACATACCCCCCCTCAGGACAGTAGTTTAGTGACATTTCTCAGCTTAGTTTGGCTGGGACTACAGAAGAGAGGAAGGTGCTCAGAGGTGAGGGAGCTGTGAGGCTCTTGTTTTCTGAGGGCCAGTGCTTGCTGCAGAAAGGCAGAGCTTTTTTGGCTCACAGTGTGTGCTATGCAGTAGCACATGGAACTGTCCTTGTCCTGTCAAGAGCAGTGATTAATGTTTTCCATTCCTCTCTGTTATTCTTCCACCTTCCTCCACTTTGCAGCATTTGCAACAATTGTGCTGGTCTCTCTCCTAAGGCAACATCTTAAATTTTTTCATGGACCATCTCTTTTGCTTGCTGTTTTATAACTGTTTACACTCAATGTGCATTTTCTATAGGAGTCTCATGCTGCTTTTTGATTATGGATTGATGCTTTGTTGCCTGTTTGATTGCCAACCTAGAGGAAGAAATCAGGAATGGAAAAGAATGAGTACAGCAATGACTAGCATACCCACCTTGAAAACTGAGAATAATGCTGTGTTTTTGATAAGCAAATGAGTTTCAATGAAATACTTGCTGTAGACATCCGTTTGGTGATATCTCACATCTTTTTTTTATTCTAGTGCTCAAATCTTTGTGAAGAACTTCCTTTAGAAAGTACCTTTTTTCTCAACTAGGAACTCCATAGTTTTGTCTCTTGCACTCTGTCACCAAGTACACTCTCATGTGTGTTATCTGAGAGGTATTGGAGTTGATATCTGAATTACCCTGATAGTCACTTTGAGCTTTATTTGGCCTTTTTTGTCACCAAGTCCAACCTTTACCCCAGGATTGACAAGTCCACCACTAAACGGTGTCACCGAGGGCCCCATCTACATGATGTTTGAACATTTACAGGGACAGTGATTCCACCACTTCCCCGGGCAGTCTGTTCCAACACCTGACTACCCTTTCAGTGAAGAAATTTTTACTAATATCCAGTCTAAACCTCCCCTAGTGCAACTTGAAGTGGTGCTCAGTGTTGCAGCATCATGAGCAAGATTTGAATTTATATGTTTGCTACCCATGCAGACTGTGGCAATGCTTGTTTGCTGGGCTTGTCTTTGATTCTGGTAACTGGAGGGATGTAACCACATTTTGCCAATGAGTTAAACTGACTGCTCTGTTATTTGGTTGTTCATTCTTATAGATCCTCTATAAGCTGATACCTGCTGTTAAGGATGACAACGTTTCATGTGGGATGTGTATCCCCATGATAGGAACCTTTTAAGAGTGATGATGACAAAGAACTGCCTTTTCTTCATACTTTTGTAGCAGTCCCTTGATATTTTCTGTTTTGATCCATCCCTTTCATGGGCAGTGTTGCACTGCAGAAGTTTTTATGTACAGTGAAATAGTCTCCTCCATCTCTGTTTGCTTCTGCTGGTAAACTTCCCTTAACAGGTACTCTGGATGTCCTACACTTCCATTAGTCCAGAGGGGCTGCTTCTTCCCCAGAGTTTGTTGATCAGCACTCTCAGCTTCTTTAGAGAGGGGATGTGAAGTGCTGTTAGCATGTTTTTACTATAATTTGATCACCCTCTTCTCCCTTGCCTTTTCCTAAGCTTTTGCTTATAGCCCCCATTTCTAGGATCTTGAGGGCACTTTTTATTGATGTCACCTGATTCTTATGTTTTATGAAATGCTGTGCTGAGAATTAGGTTGGAATCACAGAAGATTATTTAAAGTTTAATCAAAAGCCAAAATGAAGAAATGTTTGCACATAAGGTAAGAATTAAAATTTTATGTATTTAAATAACAGATGTAGAGAATTTTATTTAACTTTTAAAATTCATTTAGTGGTATGGAGAAGCTAGCAACAAACTTGGGATAATATCTTTTGCCTGGAATTTTGTTTCAGAGAACAGTCATCCTGACGTCTGTATTTTTTTTTTTTTTTTTGTCCAGTAAATATTCGAAAGAGTGTGAAGAAAGCATGACTCAAGCTTCTAAAATCAGCAGAAAGTATGAAGAGCTCCTTACACAGCTTTCTGGATTATTGGCTGCAGACATCAGAGAAAAAGAGAAACCACAGGAACATTTAATGTCAAAGGTGATCATGTGTAGGCAAGGATTTCAGTATAGCAATTTAATAGAAATAAATGTCAAAGAAATAAAGTGATGAAGACAGGAATCTTTGTGTTAAATAATGATCTGCAGACAATGCTATCATTTAAGACAGATCTTTTTTTGATGTTGGGCTGATTTTCAAAGGTGCTGAACACTAATAGAGCTCAATGAACTCAGCCTGCTATTATCTGTGTAAGTATTTTATAAGCCTGTTAGTTCCCAAGTACAGGCTTAGATACTTGTTAGATACTTGTTTGAAAGCTTTCCTGAAAACATTAACACTGGGAGCCACTAGCTGATGTGTAAACTGCACCACTAGGTCTTAACACTAGCTGACATACCATTAAACAGAAACATCTGAAATGGCATACTCTAAAACAGTCTTAACTATGCCCTGTAACAAAAAGCTGTAAATTACTGTGTGGTGGTTTTGAGACTTAGTCATAAAACTTTATTATTTATCTTCAGAATACATATGAAGTTCCAAAAACCAAGCGTCCAGAAAGGAATGGAAAATTATTTGTATGCTCTTTTAACATTTATCAATGCTGCCGAAGGGCAATTTATCCTAATTTTATGCATTCTTTCTTCATTTGAGAGCATACTAGGTGTTTTAGGAAATTCAGTTTCATTATATTCATATTATTGTAAGAGTTCCAGCTATAAGGAATTCCTTAATACACTAAGATTCTCTAGGTACATATCATAGCTATTTCTTTAAGTACTTGCCCATATAATATTACAGGCACATTGAAATTGTATTAGGTACTCTAATAAATTAAACTTGGCTAGTTGTCATTAGAGGCCAAGATGTTTGTAAGCTGTAACTCTTACATGCTTTAAGTTGAGGAAATAATTGGAGTTTAAAACAAAAAAGTATATGTCGATGTCTTTTAACAATGTAGTAATAAATCTAGTTGGGAAACATAATCTGTGCTGAAAACTCTGTTCATTAGGAAAACTTAGTCACTCTTTTGTTTGGAGTCATGGCACTTCTATTTAGCTTCTTTTCCACATCATTGTTTTGTTTAAGACTGAATTGATCTGTCTTAGTCTTAACAAAAATCTTGCCAGTAGGAGTCAGGGTACATTTTTTACCTTAGGCACTCTCCGAAATGCCCACATTCATCTATTCCATTTAGAAATAGTGTACTGTACTGAAACAGCCCCAGAATTCTCCTGGAAATTACTCCTTTTTCCAAGGGGTCGGCTGCTCAGAATAGTAACCCACTAGCTATATGGCCCTGCCCTTGAGTATGCTTATGAGGTAGCTGTTACTAACTCAAATTTCCCCATGCCTAAAAAGTTCCAAGCATAAAATGCAGCTTTCAGTTCCTCATTCCAAATGAGAGGCATAAGTCTTCACAAGCCAAACTGAAACGGTCTGCTTTTCACATCAAGTTAGCTATCTGACATGTTTTCATTTTCTAATCTGCTTCATGTCACGTGCAGATACGTAGCGACAGCAGCTTTCCACCTGTTTAATAGATCATGGAGGTTGTGTGGGAGTGAATCTGAACTACGTTACACTAAGTTGTGGGTTTCTGGTGGGAAAATGTTTCTCATTTTAGTTGTCTTTCTACTCTTTTTAGAAATGAATAATAGAGTGCAATTATACATCTGACCTAGGGGTCACCAGAAACACCAAGTCTTTATCGGGATGATTAGGAGCAAGTATGCTGGGATGAATATATGTAATTTTAAATGCTTTACAAAAGTTACTAATGTTTGAATTATTTCTCTAGGTCTCTGAAATATGTAAAGAAAATCTGACACTAAAAGACCAGGTTGCTGCTCTTCAAGAAGCTATCAACGTCCATGAGATGGAGTCCAAAGCTAGCAGAGAAACTATCATGAGGCTTGTTTCAGAAGTGACCAAGGAGCAGAAAAAGGCAGCAGGATGCTATCAAGACGTGGAAAAACTTAGTAAGGTACATAACTGCATGGTGTGTATGTTTGTCTGTTTTTCAAATGTTTTCTCAAAATTTCAAATTAATTTTCAATAAGAGTTATATGAGAAAATATGCTTCTGAAAGGCTTCTGGTGATTAAGGTCTTTCCTAAAAAGGACATTTTTCAGTGGTTATTCTCAGTTTTTTTAAGACTTCAGAATATATGCAGATTAAGCAATAACATTGTGTAAAATAGGTCTGATATAGATTTGATGTCTTCCAAGGATGCTTGCAAATTTCTGGTTTTGCTTCCTTCGTATTACTGTAACCTTTGCTGTGCTTGCACAAACATGTAAATAAACAGATGTTTATAGAGTTGAGTGAGTATATCTGAGTCACAAGCATGTAACAATGAAAATATGCTATTTTAAATATATTTATGTGATATTTCATGTTTTCTGAGGATTCTTTTATTCACTTTCTCTAAAAAATTCTAATGAGAAATTGAAAGGAATTGATAGGATGCAATTTTATTCTTTCTCTTAAGGAACTTGAAGTAAAGTGTCTTGGCTTCCAGACACTCTGGATTAGCTTTTCATTATGTCACGAAGTTGGATTCCAGAACTGTAAATACTCAATTGGCTTGTACCCAAAATGTTGCAGGTGGTAGCATGGGTCTTGCAGGAAAACACTATTTTGCTGTGGGGAACTCATGAAGGACATCTGTGTTTTAGCAGGAATAATAGTGAAATTAGAATTTTAAGTTAAGTTCTAAGTCAAGTATTGACCAAATTCACCTTTGTATGATTTGGAAAGGAAAAGGATGTGATTTAAAGATTTAATTGCTCCAGGAATGCTCATCATTAAGGGTTTCTGTATATTGCAAAGGATGGATGAACAATGTTCTGCTGCAGTTTTCCTTATTATTTTGTTCTTTGAGTGACAACTGTGGAAAGAGAGCAGTTTAATAAAACCATAATGAAAATTTCCCACAGGAGCTAGAGCAGGGTGGTTAAAGTTGATGGCCAGAACTTTAGGAAAATATGGCTGCCAAACATGTAGCTGAGTTGTGTGTGACTGAGTTTGTAGGATTTTTTAACATAAAAACAAACTTGTGCAAGTAAGTTTTCAAATGTAATGCAACATTTTCCCCACCCACCTGGCATTACTTTTTTCCTGAACAGACAACCACCACCATACACTTTAAAGGATGCAGTGTTCTGATTTGGTTGTAGGCAAAATACTTAGGACATGAGGAATAGCTGACAGTGTGCTCTGGAGAAGAAAGAATTTGTTGTGGAGAAGATAAATGTTAAGCACCACAAGGGCCATAAATTTTATTTACTGCTGAAAATACTTCTTACCAAGCTGTGTAAAAATTTCTAAGACTCAAAGAGAGCTAAGAGAGAAGCTGCACCAAAAAATTAAACAGGTCAGTTTTGAAAATATTTTCTTCTCATACTTCAGTTCAGACACAGGTATGTGAGTAAGAATAGAGAGCATTTTGCTCACTAAGTAACCCAGAATCAGGAGATGTTTTAAACCAAGATGAGGGCTTCGTTTGTCACTTGTTTTGCAATTTTCCTCAGACTGCCAAAACATTTCCAAAGTTGAGCTAGTTTTATGAAAAATATTTTCCTATCATTGTTGTGCATATGCCAAATACATAATTTATTTAACCCATTTTACAGAAATGTCTTGCTAAATTATTAGCATTGCCTTTCAAATGAAGTGTGTGCCATCAGGGCTTATCTAGAGGCTGTAGATTTCCCTGTTGCTGTTTCAGCTACTTAAATTTACAGATACTGAGTAAATCTGTTGAGAAGATCTTGTGTTCACAAAAGCATATTAAGAAATCTAGTATTGTAAAAGTAAGTAAAAAAACCCAAAAGTGCTTTAAATCCACGTGTCTAAAAGAGGTTATACGGCATCCCATTCTTTTAGAATTCTAAACTTCTCAGCTTTCTAACCAAATATTGTGAGAGCTTGCTCCTGGAATTCTGCAAATATTTTGCATACCTTTACTCTGGCAGTGCTGGGTATCAAATTTGCATTTGATAGAAAATAATTTTTTAAATGCTGCTCAGATTTCTAGACTGAGAATCAGAATACCTGTTCTTTCTTTCTGTATGTCCAGACAGTGATTACTAACTATGATAGTAATAATTACAGAACTATAACATTCTTTAAGTGTGTAGAGGCCATCACACTGTTCTGCTAGCCTTCTCCAGCAAGCCTCAGCCACCACAATGTTCCCTGCCACCTTACATTCTTTGTGAATGTAGGTCCTTAAAAAAATGTAATATTTGCTCTAAACAAGTTTCTTTCTAGTATTTGGCCAATTCCGATATGATATTTATTGAAGGTATAGAAGAAGATGCATATATTCTTCCGCCAGATGAATTTGCCTTTTGTACAACATTGCCATTGATGAACCACAAAACTAGTAAATTGGCTTGTTCTGTTTCACATCTTCGCTGGTGATTCACCCCAGAAATATTTGTGATTCCCTCTGAAGTGTTAATTTAGAAACCTGTTTTGCAAATATACACACCATGCAATGTCTTTAAAGAACATATTTGAAACATAATTAAGCAATTCTAATTAATACAAATATACAAATTAATTTTAATACAAATATGTCTGCATGTACTATTGATGCAAAATTCAACAAGAAAATACTCTTTAGTATTCAACACTGACTTGTATTAAATTATGTTATTAATGAATGAAATGTATTTAAGCAGCATCAAATCAGTATAAATTGATTAAAATCAATTGATTGTATGAAAAAAGTTAATTAAAATATAAAGTTATTCAAGGAAATTGATTAAGCTTGAGAAACATGCCTACATTTTGAATATACCCAAATACTTTGATTGTAGGAGACACGACCAAATGATTTTATGTTTTTCTTGCCCCAGTAGGTAATGAGTTTCTCACAACTTTTTTTTTTTGGTTATAAGATGTCAGTAAGAAAGTACATTAGGGACAGGCCTCAGGAGGCATCACAAATATTTCCAGTTTGTATCATCAAGGAAGATGAGAGATAAGAGCAAGCTGGTTTGCAGTTCCTTGTGATAGAACACAAGCTAACTGCAGGTGTGGCTGGTGTAAGAATTCATCTAGAAGATACCAGCATTCTCTTTTATACCTTATTATTACAGTTAACGTAATGTGAGGTTTTTGTATATGTATGTGTGATTGGCTTAGTATATTGAGACCCTGATGCTGATTGAGGTGCCAGAATTAATAGAATCCTAGAGTCATTAGGTTGGAAAAGACCTTTAAGATTATCAATTCCAAATGTTAACTGAACACTGACAAGTCCACCACTAAAACATGTCCCTAACCACCACATCTACACATCTTTTTTTTAAATACCTCCAGAGATGGTCATTCAACCATTTCCCTGGGCAGCCTGTTCCAATGCTTGATAACTCTTTTTTTGGTGAAGACATTTTTCCTAATATCCAGTATAAACCTCCTGTTGTGCAACTTGAGGCCATTTCCTCTTGTCTTATTGCTTGTTACTTGCAAGAAAAGACTGACCCGCGCCTCTTTCCATCCTCCTTTCAAGCAGCTATAGAGAGTGATAAGGCCTCCTCTGACCCTCCTTTCCTCCAGGCTAAACAACCCGGTTCCCTCAGCTACTCTTCATAAGACTTGTGCTCCAGACCCTTCACCAGCTTAATTATTCTTCTTTGGACGTGCTCCAGCACCTCAGTGTCTTATAGTGAGGGGCCCAAAACAACATAGTATTTGAGGTGTGGCCTGAGCAGTACTGAGCACAGGAGGGCAATCACTTCCCTAGTGATCAATAGACACACTATTTCTGGTTGAGGAGAAGCTCAACATGAGTCAGCAGCGTGTACTCGCAGCCCAGAAAGCCAACTGTATATTGGGATGCATTAAAAGAAGCATGTCCAGCAAGTCAAGGGAGGTGATTCTCTCTCTCTACTCTGTTCTCATGAGATCTCACCTGAAGCACTGTGTCCAGCTCTGGAGAGCCCAACATAAGAGGGACTTGGACTTATTGGAGCGAGTGCAGAGGAGGGTCGCAAAGATGATCAGAGGACTGGAGCACCTCTCCTGTGAAGACAGGCTGAGAGCTGGGGTTGTTCAGCCTGGAGAAGGGAAGGTTCCAGGGATACCTTAGAGCAGCCTCCCAGTACGTAAAGGGTCTCGCAAGATATCTGGAGAGGGACTTTTTACAAGGGCATGTAGGGATGGGATTAAAGGGAATGGCTTTAAACTGAAAGAATGTAGATTTAGATCAGATATTAGGAAAAAATTCTTCCCTATGAGGATGATGAGACACTGGAACAGTTTGCCCAGAGAAGTTGTGGATACCCCATCCCTGAAAGTGTTCAAGGCCGGGCTGGATGGAGCTTTGGTCAACCTGGTCTATTTGAAAGTGCCCATGGCAGGGAGGTTGGAACTGGACGATATTTAATGTCCCTTCGAACCCAAACCATTCTATGATTCTATGTCTTATTATATGAAAGACCTTATCCCTTCTTTTTGTCTCTGTTTCATTTGCCTGCCTCTTTAATGTGATCATCTCCCTCATTTTGTTTTGCACTGTTAAATACAGCTCTTAACCATCCCTTATAGAAGACTCCTCTCTTTCTCTGCTTAAAAGACAGAAGTAATTTTCCTCACCTGTTACAGCTTGAACACATTTTCTGTTAACACAGCTGACCTAACATTGAACATACAATTTCTCATGAGGGAGGCCTTGCCAACATCCTGTGCAATGCTCCAGTTACTTTTACATCTTCTCTACTCTAGAGCAGGTAGGGCACCAGCAGGTGATCTTGGGTTTCAGTGTGTGTTCCAGCCTGCATGGGTAACTTTAAGTATGGCACTGTATTGTATGAGCCCTTTTGCTCCAGTCTCATATAGTTGAAGAACCTTTGGTGCTACTTTCTACATCCACAGGTGAGTATGTCCATGGTAGATTGGTGCACCTCTGGTATCTAACAAACTGTCATTGTTACAGTCTACACTGGGTAAGTCCACCTAATGTCTAATTCTGTTTTCTTTGAACATCAATTTCCATAATTATTCCTGTTTTCAAGATCTGTGTGTGTCACCACTGGGCAGCTTTTTTTGGCCCTACAAGATGCATACGAAGACCTTCATATAATTCAGAGCCATGGAACATTAGCCACAAATGTTGAGGAGTCAAGGAGAAAACACAAACTGTCATGATTTCACCCTCTCAGTCTTCTGTGGTAGAAATTATTTACCTGCCTGCACTGATCACTTAGGCTCTCAGGGGTTTGCTTCTTGTTGGGATACCATCTTTACATGTCACAGTCCCTAAATTTCTGGGAACTGTTCAATGATCAGGGGCTGATTTCTTTGAAGCCAGCCAGAATAAATGCTCTCCATTCAAGAGAGATTTCAAGGATTGTTCAGAATTCTAATGTTTTGAGTTTTACAGCTTTTAATTCTGTAAATTGCTTTTGTTTGTTTGTTTGTTTGTTTTTTAATGTTTGGGCACAAGCTTGCAGTTCCTATTTTATACCTAGATCTTTTGATTCAACTGTGTTTGCAGATGGTCACAATTTGAAACAAGATTGTATAATTAGGTAAACTCCCTGGTACTGGCAACTACTTTTGCACTGCCTTTCTGAAAGGAAAAATACACACTGCTGAAAACTGTAATTGGAATAAATGACTCTCTATTCTTTGCTGTAATTACCATAATGTAATTCTGAGCACAGGTGGGAAATTGCTATTAATAAGACCTGTTTAGAAGAAAAAAGGAGAAAATGGCAAGGAGTCATGCCAAAACTTGTTTCCAAGAGAGTTCTACAATTACTTTAGAAAGGGTTAATAACAAATAATTTCCTAAATGACAGGGTTTGTTTTGGTTTGTTTTCATTTATGTGTTTGCATGTTTGCCTTTTTGAAGCTACTTAAAAATTTTGGTATTTTGAGTATCGTATATTTATATTTCATTTCCAAGGGTACCACCCAAACTCCTTTTTTGTCCATCCTCACTGTTGATCTACATAAATACTCCCAGATGTACTGTTTGATTGGCATGTATTCCATCAATACAAATGACTCTCTGTGCTACACAGCAAGCACAGATAGACCCTGAGAGACCCCCGAATAGTCACCATATTCACAATTATTGCGGGAACAATTCTTTAACTCCAGTGTACTCAATTTTATTTCTTATAAATCCACTTACTGAGCCCCTGCTAAACAACTGAAACTTCCAGGGAAATTCAGTCACTTTATAAATATCCGATCCTCTGGCATAATTTTGGGTCTTGTGTGAAGTAATATTCTTTCCCATTTGTTCCTATCAATCAGGTAATACCCTGAGGACTGAACTCAGTCTTTGCTGTAGTATTAGTTGGTTTCACTGCAAATTTTATTCTTGTATATGAAGGTGTAAGCACTCTTAGTATTGGTTTTCTGGGGAAACGCAAGAAAGTTCACAAGTTGACTGAATGAGAGAGAATTTTTTTATTTATGTTTACATGAGTTATTTTTCTTTAATTTTTCTACCATCATTTGATTTTGTGTCATGTGCTAGGATACACAGTTCTACCTGTCTGCTTTGCCTTGTTTGGTCAATATTTCATGTACAACTGATGTAGGTATATAGGTGCTGGCTAGTTTTTTTTCTTTCCAAACTGAGTCTTGATTCATCAGAAGATTTTAAAACCTCTGGACTTAGAAAGAAAGGATCATGGGTGTCAGGTGTCTCCCTACTGAGGACAACATTGCCTTTTAGTGTTACTTCTGAAATGCAAGAGACTAGCTTAAAAAAACCCCCAATTTACAAGGACACTAGGTAGAGACACCATCTCATTAGTCCTTCCCCAGTTGTGCTTCTGCACACTGACAGCCCAGCTGACCAGCAGATGGGGGCTGTTGTAGGCTCTGTAGGAGAACACATAAGCTCTTCGCTGACTTCTATTCCTCAGGCAAATTCAACCTTATGGTAATAGGGATTTTGCTTCTTTAGAAGATGGCATAGCTCTGAATAATTCTCTTTTTGAAATTTTTCTGAGTGTTTCACAATTTAAGGATTTCCTCTTTGAGGTGAAATTGGTATTTGAGCATTTGCACCTTCTTTTATGCTGTCACCTTAACATCATCATTGTTTTTTGTTTAGCCTCTCACACTCCATCTCTCCATTTCTGTGTATAAATAATCTCAGGAATTTTTGTCACATTCAGGTAAGCTGGTCTTGGAGATCACCTCCAGTTCTGCTCTTAACATTATATTCAATGAGTTTGTGTGTGTTCTTTTGGTCAGCCCTGAATTGATCAGGCAGTTGGACCAGGTGACACTGTAGGTGTATTCCAACTGAAAAATCCTATTCAATCCTGCCCTGCCTTGCCAAGCCCTGCCCCTTCTGAGTTGTAGTACTTTGGCTTTATCTGCGTTGCATCTTGTTCACCATTTGTTTTCTAAGTCATATTATCTGAATGAAAAAAATAAGATAGCAGTAGTTTTACAATAAAAGCTTGTTTTGTGTTTACCTGAAAATTTTACTCATGTATTAATTCTTGCAGGCCACAGCAAGTCTATAGTGTAATTACAGCAGGCTTTGGGCTTTCATCGATTTCAGTAGGAGTTCTCCTATGAAGCCCTGATCATGACCCATATGACCAATATGGGTCCTAATTTCTCTGTCTACAGTACCTGCTTCTGAGTTATTCCCTGCTTTGTGTGTGTAGGGGGTCATAACAAATTTTAAAACACTGGTTTAACCTTTCATGTATTTTAGGATCTTGACAGTGCTATAATAGGGAGACAGAGTTTGGAGATGGAGATCAGGAACCTCCAAGATAAACTGACTGTGAACCAGAAAGCTTTGGATTCCTCAAAGTGGGAACTGCACAATCTGAAGAAATCTTCTAGTGAGCTGGATGGAAGCTTGAAGAGCAGCAGAGAAGAAGCCAGGACTGCTCAGAGGTCTTTAACGGCTTTTAAAGAACAAATTGCTACCCTACTCAGTGATGGATCTGCAATAGTTAAACCTTCAGAGAAGTCCATTTTTGAGAGGATCCAAGAAATAAATTGCAAAGAGGAGAGCAAAGAAATAGTAAGTTAGCAACTGCTGTACTCGCCCAACGTGTATTTATCCTCTTTGGATCCTTTTTAATTTTATTAATCTGTTAAAATGTTGGTTCCTTCAGTGCAGGTTTTATAATTACAGAAACCTTTTATTTTTGTTGTCTGTTGATCTGAGATAATAGGTGAAAACCATCTATGTTTTATTAGTCAGAAAGGGGTCAGAAATGAAATTGATAATAGATGCTGCTAACAAGAAAAGACACAATAGTGACTTCAAGGACTGACTTGTTTCTCAAAGTGGACATAATTGATGAGTTGCCCCAGGCAACTGCTTTCCCTCCAATCCTTAAAACCTGCACCTAAAAAGAAAAAGTATTTTTGCACTTGTAATTAAACATTGTTGAAACCGTAACTGTTCACCATCCAGGAGAAAGGCAAAAGGAAGGCAGCTGACTATTCTAATGCTTTGCTCAAGGCGTTTTGGTTCGTAGTGTTTGCAAAGATGTGCTTGCACGTAGAGGTAGAGAAAGGACAGCTCAGGAGGAAGGCAAGCCAAAATGCAGTTGGACCAATGTCAGAATTCTGACACTGCACTGCACTTGCTTAATGGGTATATATTAATTTTGTCAGCAAAAACTATTATATAATTAAAAAATCACCCACTAAATCAAAAGTTGTTTTCACTGAGTCACTGGAAAACAATTTGTCCCCTTGACAGATTTTAAGATTCTACCACCTCCAGCTGATGTAATAGTTTTTTATGTTAGCAAATGTTTTTGTTTTCTGTCCAAGACTGGAAATAACTCTTGAAAATATCCCTGTGCATTTTGATTAGATATTTTGTTAAAAAATACAAACCAGCTTCCCTATACTTTAGTTTGAGAGTCAGTATGCCAAATTTTAATGAAAACAAGCTTTGTGAAAACACGTGCTATTTGAAAGTGATTCACTGAAGTGGAAGGTGGCAGAAACTTTTTAATATAGGAGCTCTGTACATATAGTTTTGCTATATGTCATGGAGTGTTGTTTCCATAAGCAAAATGCTTTCAAATTGAAATCTAATGAGAATTTTATGTGCATGTGTCTGTACTATTTGGTGTTTTGGCATACAGTACATTCTGTTGAGATGTTGATTATGTTGAGGACTGCCGAGAAGGGGAAATTTAAGTCAACTGGTAGCTATTGAGTAAAGATTTTGCTCCTGGGAATGCTTTCAGGTGACCTGCTGCTTTTGTAAGATTCAGTTGCAGCTAAGTCCGTTTACATTTACCAACTGTTAGTCTCTTCGTGGATATACTACAGTACATGCATAGTGTGTGCAACTTAGTTCTTATTGTTCCTGATTTTATTCCTTAATATTAGCTTTATATTCTGGCTTGCCCATCCTGCAGACTGGTAATATTGTAAGGATTTAAACTTGGTCTTTATTTTGTTGCAGTTACGATCTTTTCCAGCTGCTTGAGAGGAACATGTCTGGTTATCCAAGTAATAGCATTGATTTGAAAAGTTGTATTCTCTTAGAGAGCTACTGTAAACCATACAATAATCAACTGATCTTTTTTCTAAACAGCTGTGATTATTATTTTAGAGATAAAGAAACTGGTGTTCAGCAAACCAGGTATTCCTCCATAACAGTATTAAAATTTATTTATTTGGGTGCTATGCTATAGCCTCCTTCCCCTTCCACTGAAAGACCTGTTAACTTTTGCAATGGAAACAACCTCTTTTTTTGGTGTGTGTCTGAGAATGGAGACAGATTTGGTTTTCATTATTACTGCTATCAAAATTAAATATATGTGCTAAAAGGAAGCCTTTATTACTAAGACAAAACAATTATCAACGCCAATCTGCTGCTACCTAAATCTGTGCTTTGGAACAAAGATGCTGGTCTAACAGTTGCCACCTTTTGTTGGTTTATTTTTATATAGTAGAGGAGCTATGTCAGGTATGTCTAGCGTAGCATTCTGCCTCTGCTAGCAAATACAACAATTGCCTGCTATGCTTCTAGCAATGCTAACCCAAAATACTAGTTCTTCCTAAAAAAAAAATAAAAAATAAAATAAATGTGGCTCAGTTTCCTGAATGATAAACATTAGCTTTAAACTTAATATTGCTTGGTGATTTTAGTCACTCTAGCTGAATGATGAAACTCTGTGGATCACTGTACTTGCTAAGTATGTTAAGTGATGAAGCTTTAATATTTTACTGCTCTGTCTCATTTGGAAAAAATTACTTACATGACTCTAAATGAACTTTGTTACTAAAGCAGTGTTGGCATCTATTCTCAGAAGAGTTTCTGTACTAAGATTAGGGGCTTTGAAGTAACTAAGCTAAAATGCCAATATTATACATCTGTGAATCTGTTTCTAATAGAACGTAGACTTTGTCATCAAAACCCTGTTTTACAGTGAACCGCTTTTCTTTCTGCAAATCAGAATTACAAAAAAGGAACAAAAACCCAACATAACATTTTCTAAGGTTCTATTTGTAAGGAGTATACATGTTGGTATTTATGTGTAAATCAGATTCATGTTGCAGCTCTGGGTGAGTTTTTTTCCAGGGTTTGGATGCAACATCAGTGTTAAGATATGTATGCTTTACTACCAGTCAATCAAGAAAAAGATTAATTGTCTTCAGATAGGATTTTTTATAGACCCGTCAGTAAACTATCCAAACTTAAGTAAAAGACACACACAAGTGAGTCATGAAAGATCTTGGCAGGGTCAATTAGCCTGTAGTGTTGTTGGTGCCTCAGCTAGCTTGTTTCAAAACAGTCCGTTTGTGGCTGAAATGCAGCCGCAACACCAGGACAGCTAGGGTTATGAATCCAGCAGCCAGCTGCCTCACTGCTGGAAATTAAACATATGCTAATGAACGTGCTAATGTGTAACAGGAGGAGGGTTACAATTAGGTCTTCCCTTTTTCTGAATAAAGATTGTATCATTTCTGTCAGGACATCCTGCAAGCAGCTTGCCTTTGCAATCCTAGATTAGTGGGATCCGGAAAACAGAATGCAAGAACCTGCATTCTGAGGACCCTCTCTGAGTGTTTTGATGTCTTCTCTAAACAGGTTTTGGTTTTTAATTTTTAAATCATCGCTGCATCTCCTCTGGGAAGTGTGTGTATAGGACTGTATACGCTAGATGAACTGACAAAATGTTCATCTTTACATCCAAGCTTGGTCAGCTGTGTCTGGTTTACCTCTGCACATGCACCTGTCAGAGCGAGCTGTAAAAAGCCTGAATTTTAAAAGGCCTTTGAGAAAATAATTCACTGCAACTGCTATAGTCATATTTTCTATGAAATTGCTATAGTCAGATTTTCTGTGAAATCTGAAATGCTCTTGAAGATTATGTTTCCTAATTATAATGATTTTGGTATCTGAAGGACATTAGAGTTAGTCATATTCTGTACACTAGCCCTTAGCATTAACATTAAAGAATAAATCAGCATATACACTGACAATGTCCAGTGATAGGTATTCTATAGCAGGGTTAAGAAAGTGCTTTCAATCAGTGTCCTAATGGCCTTTTCAGCAGTTATTGTAAGATGTGTATCATCCGAATATGTTTGGACAGCTCTTGGGTGTGTTGGTCATTTATCATTTGTAACATACTGGAGGGGTTCGCAGACACCTGGAGTGCAAGGCAAGAAAATGTTCTTAGTTCATAAAGAGCACAGTCCTGGTTATGAGGTCTCCAGGTTCAGGTCCTTTCTGTTTGACAAGTTTTGTTGCAGATCTGTGGCAGCAAATCAAATTCATATGGCTGAAAGTGTTTCTCTTGACTATCTACAGCTGATCGTACATTGTTTTAATTTTATCAGATTTTGTCATTGCATATTGATATACAGACCCTTAATTGCAAAGTTCACAAGGCTATACTACTAAAAGCTTAATACGAGAGAAAAATAAAGTTCAGCAAGATTTTATTGAGGGTTATTTAGTTGCAGCAGGGCGGTCCTCAAGGGAGGACCTGCCTCTGGAAAGGAGTATTTGCAACTTCCTATAACACAAGAAATAAAAGGTGCTAGTTTATCTGGTAGCCACATTCAAACAAAAAGCAGGCAGTGTTTGTTTGCAGGCTGGCTGATCAAACTGCACAAGTCATTGCCACAGAAAATCGTGGGGGTGAGTACTGCAGGACCAAAAATGCAGCCTTTGTAAGTCTCTGGATACAGGTATAGGTGGGTAATAAGGGTGCAACTCTATTTTAGGAAATCCCTAAGTTGTTGATTGTCCCTTGGCCAAGGACGAAGGTTACTCCAGGATGTTCTGGAAGATAAACTGACAGCCTGGTGGTTTTGTGGTCTCACCTCCTGTGGTATGATCCCTCACCTTCTCATGTTTATGGACCTTTAAAGCCCGTCAAAGACCCATGTGGCTGGGCTGTGCCCAGAGCCGCTTTGCAGCCTGGTAAAGGGACTCTGGGTTCTCTGGCAGCAGCACAAGACTTGTAGGCAAAGTTACTGAAAGTTTTTTGTATTGTTTATTTCCCCTGCTGAGCAATGTGTGATGCAGAAAAGCATAAAATGTGTGTGTTCTTGCAGTTTTGTTATTGTTTAGTGTTTTCTACCACTGTGTGAGCAGCAGTAATCTCAGTGCTTTTTTGGGCAGGTTGGGTGCAAACTATTGTTCATATTTAATTGCAGGCTAAGTGGGAAACTTTTTTGTGCCATTAAAATTAATGTGAGTTTTGTGTGCTTATTGTTCATTTTATTAACAGAAGGCAAACAGATGTTTAAAATGAAGAGACTGCTTGGAGATGAGTGTCTGAACACTGAGTTACAAATGTAACATAATTAATTGTGTAACCAAATAATTATGTGACAGTAAGATGAGAAGAATGGGGAAAGAGGGAAGCAAGCAACTTTTTTGATAGAATTGCCTTTCGGTATTTGGCACTAATCATATGCTTTCAAGCATTTAATTTAGAAATAGTTTACAATTTAAATTATGTGTAGGTGTTGCAAAGTTAGCAGTGTAGAGCTAGAAGTGGTTTCATACACTAGTTGTTAATCTAGCTTTGTGTTGTGGGATTTTATCCTTTAGCCTTGGGCTCTGGCTAGATTACAGAAATCAGTATTAATGCTTTTTTTTTTTTTTCTGGCAAAATCTTTTAGTTAAACACCCTTTAACAGTTAACAACTCCTCTGAGACTTATCCATATTTACAGTCTCACCTACATACTGCATGTATTTTCCAAATCACTTAACTGTTTTTTTCACTCAGCTCCTAGATACACTAGTGATTTTATTGGCTTGTTTCGAAGAATGTTAGTTGACTGCTAGGTGTGTCTGTTTTGCTAACATGTCTGGAAAGTTTGTGTCTAAATTAGCTTGTATTATCTTTTTATGGATATTAAACTCTTTCAGTCAGTCGGCTCATCTTAAATGTGTTTTTTGCTGTTCACTTTTGGGTGTCCCACATGTTGTAAGTTCTGCCATTTTCTCCTTGTTGTTACAGCAGATTTAAATGCTTGTATTTTAAATGCTTGTATTTTAAAGATAGATATTTTACCCTCTTTTTAATAATTTGAGGATGCATCTTTCATATCTTTATAACCTTTCCATACTCACCTAGCTGCATATGTTTTGTTGGTTTGCTTGCTCCCTAGATGGTATCTCAGCTTGAAACCCAAATAGCTGAATTGACTGAAGCTTTGGAAAATCAGACCAGATCGTACCAAGAAGCTATGGAGCGGAGTCGGAAAGCTGAAAAATGTTCTGAGACTTTCCAGGATCAACTGAAACACTTGGAAGAGGAATTACTGTCTGTAGATCTGATGAAGGAAGGCTTGAAGCTTGAGAAACAAAAAGTAGTTGAATGCATTATTTTCTTTTGCACAAAAGTCACTAAGGACAGAGATATGGCTAATTTTATTGCATTGATCTGCCAGAGTATTACTCAAAGTACTGCAAATAATATGAATTAGCAAAGGCAGGCATCACATAGGGAGTATAGCATCTTTTTTTTAACAACAATTTTACTTGGAAAAGTAGCTAAGCTTTTGAGTTCAAAGTTCATTTAATGTGAAAAGATCCTGACCAGATTAAAAGAAGTTTCTGTAAAGATATCAGAGGTCCTTCAAAGATCCTTTGGTCTCAAAGCTTTTTCTGACCTCTCAGGTTTTCTCCAATATATCATCTGGCCTGCAGTCTTTCAAGATCTTGCAGTCCTTGATTCTTATATATCCATCAAGCATCAAGGCTGCCAGGATTTTTTTACTAATTGTATGAATGAACACACTTTTAATCTATAACACATCCGCATACTAAGAGCTTGAAAATGACGTAATACCTGGAAAGCTAAACCAGCCATCCAATATAGCTAAGAAAGACAAAGTTTTAGCATGTTCCCAGGCCAAGATCAATGCTTAGAAAATTGAATTTGCAAAGAATCAACAATTCAGTGCTGTCTGTATTGCATTTGTCTATGATACAATTACTTTTATGAATGAAACATCCTCCACTTTGGAAGCAAAGCAGAAAATGGAGCAGTTCATTCCCCTCTGCTTCCTCTGTGAAGAATGTGTGGTCCTGGCTTCTTAATTTCTCAATAGATTTTGCTGCAATAGAGAGATTTTTGTTGTGATTTTTTTTTCTGTTAATGAACAACCTCAATGCTTTCTTCTTCTGCCGCTGTTTTTAACTTTTTGAACCAGAAACATCATGAAACAGGAAGAGATTCTTGCTATGTTTTATTGTCTTGTGCTCTAGCAACAATTATGGAAGTGGTTTGTTGTGTTGTTTTTTTGATTATGGCCTGCAACAGAAATAGGAGAAAACAAAGGCAAACATAGTTCTTACTGAGAAAGAGAGCTTTGGGTTTTGCAAGAGAGGCTAATTGAGACCAGGGAACTAATATAATTTTTAAAGAGCTAGTAGGGCAGGACAAAATAATAAAAAAACAGTTTAAATAATATTTTATATCTGTATTTGTTCACATCAATAAACCAATTGGAGATGCAATTAAAGTAATCTCTAAAGCAATTTGTAAACCATTAACTGTTATCTTTAAAACTTAGTATTCCAAAGAAAGGCAAAAGACTGACCATGTTGACAGTCCCGTGTTTCCTCAGACTGCATTGTATCTCGCCCATGGCAGCTTTGGTACCAGTTTTATCTGTTTTAGAACTCACAGCACTTGCAATTATTTGGGATGTACCTGTTCTTAATAACTTTTCCATGCATGGCTGTGTACAGCAGCAGAGCCACAGGCAGGAACTGGAGTCAGAAGCAGACACACATACCTAGTGCTCTTCTTGCTGAAGAGGAGCAAAACCCAATCTGGTCTTGCTAACAAGATAAAAACAGTACGTCCAGGGATTTATGAACAAAATAATTGTTGACTAAAACAGGAAAAATGGATAACTTGCAGTTGTTCAGGAGTGTGTACTGTAAACATACTCTTTCAGTACCCTATTTCTTGTGGATAGTAGACTTGGCTATGTATAGTTGGTTGCTGGTGTAGGGGGAATTGCTTTTAAATTGTACTTCAGGACTTTTAATGAAGTTATTCTTTTACCCACTTTTCCACATCTTGTCTTAGTACCTGAAATTTCTGGAGCAACTTAATGAGAAGATGAAGCTGGATAGCCTAGCAGCAGAGGTTGGATTTGATATGAATGTGGATGCAATTCTAGCCCGGGCAGAGCAGTTAGTGAAACTCGAAGGTGATGCAGTGATTGAAAACAAGACTATGGCATATAGCCTAAGAAGGAAGGTAAGCGAAAAAAGACATATTACTGTTTATTTCAAAGATAAACATTGTTATGGTTATAGATCTACAGTGGCTTGCTAGAGGCAGCAGATTGGAGCTTCATATATGTACAAGGAATTTCAAAGATGTCCGTTACATAAAAAAACCCCAAAAATATTTGCAAACTGTGCAGACATTGTATTAAACTAACTAAAACCACAAGTCAGTTAAATACGTAGTACTGTTTTTCACAACTTCTTAAATAAATGTATGAATTTATGCATGTTTATATGTGTATATATGTCTACTTTTTAATACACATTTATAATGTATTTCTTTAAACAACTACCATTGATATTTAAATCTAAAAGGACTATCTGGGAAGGGGGGCATGTTACACAAACTTCACTAGAAACTACTGTGTTGTACTTCACCAGGAATTTCAACCTTTTCAGCAAGACTGTGCTCCTTTAGGATGTTCAGATTTGGTCAGATACGCCTCTGTCATCCTGTTATGGAAGAGTGATATCTTCAGGTTTTGGGCTTATCAGAATGGTTTAGAGCTTAGAATTAGGTCTGTTTAAGGTTTAAAACAACACTGTGGTTTTTTTGGATGCAACTGCCTCTTTAGAAGGGAGTATAGTATGTGTGTTAATACTTCTCAGATGTTCTAGAGTAAAGCCTGTCAGCTCAGCTCAGGTAAACTGAAAATGGGTAACTCCCTAAGCACTATAATTACAAAACTAAGCTCCTGGACCTTGTGTTGTATCCAGCAGTGGATGAGAGCTTTCATATTTCTGTATGTTGATTCTCCTTCTTGCACACTAGCATTAACTGAGTGATTATCTTAAACTACTACCACTGAAACCACTGTTTCTGTAATCAATCTTTCTTACCTCTTGCATTTGACTAGTGTTTTATACTTCAGGCCATCTCAGATGTTATAAATGATGCACAAGTATTTATCTTCTAATAGTGTGCAGTCCATAGGTAAATTCATTCTAAAAGGTAGTGCACAAATTCAGGGATTGAGAAGCACAATGAATTGGTAATATAAAAGGTATCAAGTTTTATATATATGTTTATACTGCTTTGCAGAGTTTTCAAGAGAGAAATAGGAGTTCAGATTAAATATACAATATGGGGATTAAATTTGCAAAGCAATCTCTGTAGTACCGTTGTCTTTCACATGTATCTTTTCAAATATCCTTGTGTTTGGAAAACTAGTTGAAGACTCAAAAAGAAAAACTTGAAAGCAAAGAGCTGCACATGAACATTCTGCGGCAGAAAATAACTCAGTTGGAAGAGGAGAAGCAAGTAAGGACCTCCTTGGCTGTAGAGAGGGATGAGGCCAATCTCACTGTCAGAAAGTTACATAAGATGATAGAGAAGTTACAGAAGCAGCTTGATCTGGCAAGGGAAACGAACACTGATCTCAAAGCCAAGCTGTCTGAAACCAATGAACTTAAGGTGAGTTAAAAGATTACTTTTGTGCTTCTATTCATTTTCTATTCCAGTTGGATACAGCTGGAGTTCATTTAAAATAAATGTATTCATGGATGACTGCTCAAATCCATGTAAGTGGGGAAAGCAAATATAATATGAAATATTAATATTATTAATATTTTTGGTTATTTTGCAATTTGTCTTGGTATACTAAGTAGAATCTATAAAGCACAGCATCAATTTTCAGGCTAGCATAAGAAAAATACATTACATGCATCTCTTTTTTTCCTGTTGATATGACTATAGTCCTACATTGCTCATAGAAGATCTATTCTGATAGATATGGAGGGAAGGGGGAAGAGGTTTTCCTGCATAAAACAAGGTGCTAAATTTTCATTGTTCCTGTGTTCAGGTGAGTACAAGTAGTTTGCAGTCACTGGTAGCTTGCCACTACTGGAAGAAAGGAATATTGGTTTTATGTGAGTTTGTGTCTTGTGGCTGATGGAAATAGATAAGTAGGTGCATGTTCCAACAATTTTTACCAGCAAAACATTTGGCAACTCTTTTTCATACTAGCAGAGTGTGAACTCTCACTGCGGGTTATTGTCTAGTTACCTCTTTTCACAAAGCCTGCAGAGAATTAACTGTCTTTGAATTGAAAATCTTTTTGTTAATTGAGTTAAAATTGACCAGTCTCCTTTAACAGCTTTTCAGTACACACATACATGTAATTTCAGCAAGAACCCATAAGAAACTACATTAAAATGTTTGTTCATGACTGTTCCTGATGTTTTTATTATATGCTTGTGTTAGGTGAAAAAGTGTGACAAATTTAACAGTACCTTATGTTACTGCAGATTAAAACTTTGGAGCAGAACAGAACAATAGAAGAACTCAATAAATCTCAAGGCAAATTGGAAAGAATGAAAGAAAAGGCTGAGAAACAACTCACCTCTGTCAAATCAGAACTTCTTTTAAAGGAGCGTAAAGCTACTGAAGATAAAGAAAAAAACAAAAATATGTTAGAAGCAGCTACCAGTGAGATGAAGGTGCTTAAAACAACCCTTGCAGAACTAGCAAAAAGGGAGAGACAGGTAGGTGTATAAGTATTTGACAAGTGCTAGTTGTCACAGAATATAAGAATGTGGTGGTATAGGCAGAGCAGACATCCAGCTGTGCTGAAAAGTTTTGTGAACATTGTTAAACTAGGAAATTTTAGCTCATACTTGTGAGCCAGAGTGACAGCCTGCTTTAGGATTAATGGTCAGCTCTAGTGGCTGTAGCAAATCACAGCAAAATGTGCATATTCTTCAGTAGACGTATAAAACCATTAAACCCCCCACCACGTTCAAAGCATTATTAAATCATACTGCAGAGTAAAAACCATAGAGAAGTGAAGCTATATGTGAAGACTCAAAAAAGTGGAGATTGCTAGAAGGGATATATGGTAGGGAAATTGTTGAATATATCGAAACTTTGCAAGAGGAACTGTAAGTTTACAGATATCCATACTGGATTTCCTCTGTCTGTGGGGTGAACAAAAAATTTTCCTGACTTCATATATCCTTGTTGCATGTTTCTGGATATAATTAAATATCAACATAATCAGAATTCATTTTAATAAGCCAAGATGACGAGTATGCATAATGACTGATAACAAAAGGATGTTCACAGGGACTGATAACATCAGTATAAGACCACTGCATTCAGCTGCTGATTAAAATCTGAATATATTTTGTTTTGTATGAAATTAACTCAAGTCCTTATTTGCAGTAGTACTTGGAATATGACTGTCAATGTTTTGGTTGAGTTTTGATGGTTTTGTTATAAGGATTTTTCCCATTCTTAGCCCTCACTCCCCGTCTCCTTTTTTTAATTTCTTTCTATTGGAATGAGACCCCTTCTATTTTTCTGTAGATACAGCATGAAAACAAAATGTAGTGTCTGTTTTTGGCTTCTGCTCCTGTCTCCTAATAGTTTGGGTTAATGCTCTAAATTGCATTTATTTCCAATTTTACTTCAGATAATTTTACTCACTGGATGGAAGGTGCAAAGAAAATTTATGATGAGTGCTTACTGCCATAGCAAACCTCTGGTTTTGAGTCTTTAGTGATGTTTATCTTTTATTATTTCTCTTATTTGCATCAAGTTGTGCCTATCTTAGAAGTATTAACTGTTATTGAAGAAAGCCTTAAATAGAGAGTTAGGTGGTACTTGTATTAGCTTCTAGTATTTCAGCAGAACTGTTGTGTTCTTAATACCTCTGTTGCATTGTTTATAAAGCTGAAATACGTTTCTCATCTAATTTCTTTTCCCTAGGTCTTACATATTTGTGCAAGATTTTTAAAAGTTGTTCATCATGTGCTTGCAGTACTCTATACACACTCAGGAGTATAAGCATGCATCTTGTTCCATGCAAGACTTGCATTGGTGTCTTCCAGTGTGTATTGTCTGTTGCTTTTGTTTGGAGTTCTAAAATTCAGTTTGATGTCTGCTGGTGGGGCACTTTTGGTACCTAAGAGTGATGGTTCTCTTTGCCAGTTTATGTGGAAGAATTTCTCTTTGTTGTCAACCCTTTATCTGCATTTTCACTGAAATACAGTGTTGCCTGTACTGGACTTTATATGCCACAATATAACAGTTAGAAAACTTTTTTGTCAAAGTGTTATTCTGTTAAAGTGGGAAAAAAATTCCACAATTTAAAATTGAAATAAATGAATGGCTTAGAGGATTTCTTTAAGGGCTCTGTGTTTTCCAGTTTAGGTTATCTGCTGATGAAGGTCATTGCATTCTTAACATATATGTTGTCCATTCAGCATAGCTATGACCTGCTTTTCCCATCAGAAATAAAGTGTGAGATGGCTGTGTGTAGGTTTTAGTTTGTATCTGTTCCCTCTGGCAAAATCCTGTCAGATCAGTAATTTTCGTCAGTGCATCAAGTTTAATTTGACTGCATTTGATACATGGTTGTAGTGCAGTTTGGTTTGCTCACAGTTGCTCTAATTAAGTTGAACATCTTGCAATAGCAAAGATAGTAGAGCAAGAAATTTGGTGCAAAGCACAGGCCCTAATGTGCTCCCAGGAGATCAGTTAGATTTGCTACATAAACATCTTGTGGGGTTCTAATTCATCCAAAGACTGGTTCTTTGCAGAGGGCTGCCTTGATCTTTTAACAATAAGTCTCTATGGAAACAAATTCCAGTTTTGCTGCCTGCTCATTCTGTCTGTGATCCAGATGTTTAAAAAAATCTTTAGCTTCTGCTAAATTGTAGTTACCTAGCACACTGCCAGAGTCCCACATCCATGGTCTCCTGACTGTGTTTTGAAGAGAATATCTGGGAACTTGGGGGTTTCTGGTGTTACATTGTTCCAAAAGTTCATCCAAGACATGGCACTGCTTTGGTAAGCCAGATAGCTGGGTCTGAATTCTCAAATCCTTCTGGCCTGTCTTGGTTTCCATATGTTTTTCTGAATTGATGATAACTCCTCAGGGTTTGTACTGGGATTGAAAAAGTCTTTGTCAAAGTCTTGTTTTCCAGGTTTTTGCAGCTTGCCTCACACATGTTATAACTGCTTTAGAGTTCTGCATGGTATTCTTGGGGTTGGGCACGTATTTCAGGAGTACTTTTGTCTCCACTTCAGGAGTGTGTATATCTCCTCCTTACCATTAGCTGTCAGCATGATTGGTGGAGTGGGGGTGCTGTCACACCAGAGCACTAGTCTTGATGGTTTTGATGTTTCTGTGACATTTTGAATGTCTGTTATGCTTGGGAATGGGGACTTGGGCATTCAAATAGACAGCAGGATAAGCATATTTCCTCAAATAGGAGCATTTTCCTCTTTTAATTGTGTGTTGATGAAAAGGGGTATTAAGGCTCTGTTCATTGAAGAGGCACTGAAGTTTGATTTATAATAATCCATATTGTGAGTTGAAAAGAGTAAATCAGTATTCATGTTCATCTGACCTTAAGTTTTTAATCTAGTTGCTGATGGGGTCTGATGACAATTGTTTGTGGATGTCTATCTATTTGGAACTGAGAAAAAGCTCTTTTCTTTAACTACTTTGCCAAATACCCTTCCTATGATTTATTTTCAGCAGCTATGCAAGAAGAAAAATGAGCATTTCCCAGGCTGCATCTTGAATTTTGGCTGCATCCTGATTCTGAGTCAGAGACAGACCAAAGGATGTGCCAAACCTCCACCTTTCTTCTAACTTCCTCCTTTCTGATGTGGTTTTCACAAAAAGTGCAGAGTGGAGAGGAATGGTGACAAGCGGTGGTCAGGAGCTGGAGGTCAGGACCAGCACATCAGCCTGTGCTGGGGGATGCACCCACTGGAGTTTCCAGTTGTCTGTATAGTTCTTTAACACCTCAGCTGTTTACATGTTTTGTTACTTGACGTACGTCCCAAAGGGCTGTTTCCACTCTCCTCAGCTCTCTGTATTGACCACCAGCAGAAATTCCTGTAATTCCTGCTTATTCCTGTAATTCCTGCTAATACAAATGCTTGTGTTTGTATGTATGCATATATGTATATGTTCTTCCAGGCTTCCTCTTTGCTTGGTATTTAATGTATTAGTAATTCCTTTCTCTTTGATCTTTCAGCTGGCAGATTTCCGAGAGGTAGTCTCGCGGATGCTGGGCCTCAACATTGCCAACCTGGCTCTTCCTGACTATGAAATCATTACATGTCTTGAACGGTTGATTCACTTTCATCAGTGCCACTACTTCCCCTGTGTCTGCCTCAAAGAAATGGCAAGGGCACCAGAGGAACACTCTCAAAGAAACATAGAGCTTCTTCACTGACACACACGTTTTGTAAGGAGACAGAAGAAAGTAAAGTTTTCTTTTGTGCCTCCCTACCTGCTAGACTTGTGTAGAAAGCAGATATTTCTGTTCCCTATGCTGCAGACACTAATTTGGGATGATTTTTAGTGTTTCAGTAAGGATACTGAATTGAATGGACCAAGTAAACCCAGCAGCCTAGAGACAGCAAACAGAAAATCCCTGGGCAGCATAATAGTGAAGTTATGAAAATGATAGACAATATGTGAACAATGTATAGCCCTCCAGTTTCATTGCAGAGGTGTTGAGAGCATGAGGCGCTCAAGGTCAGTTTTGGGAAGTGTTTGCTAATGAATGGCAGCTTCAGTGATACTCCTTGTGCTTTATCTTTGGGTGACAGGGATGAAATGAAGTGTGGGTGGTCCTGCTGCTGTTCCTCTTGCAAAATGGGATGCCCCTGCATTTTTACTCATAAAGGACTTTGGCTTCAAGACAGTTAGCTGGAAGTTAGACAGAGGACTATCACCATTTTGGAGCAAGGGCTTTTTGTTTTTAATTTTTTATTCTGTTGTTTCATTAGTCTGCTCGTGTGCCAAAACAAAAAATAATGCTTTTTCAGCAAAGGCTCTTTCACAGGGCCCAGTCATGCACCTGATGGAGGTACTTGGGTAAAATTGCATGTTGCCCCTGGTCGTGATGCCTTGAAAATTCTTCTTCTGGCTGCTGTATACCTTGGGCATTAATCCATAGACAAACAAGTGGCTGTTCTTCCGAGTTAATAAAAAGTTATTTTAGAATGGTTATCTGCTACAGAAAATAGTTGAATTACTAAAGTCTTTATTTTCAGAAAAGCAATGATAAGGTGCCAGAGTTACCTCTTAATCATAAAAGCTTCTTGTCCATCATGTTTTCTGGGTGTTGTTAAACTTCATGATTTTTTTTAAAGAAACTTGAACAATAAATCCGTTTTAACAGCACACACAAACATGGTTCTGTGTTTTTAGTTCTCTCTTCCCATTATGTATTTTGTATGGATGTGTGAAGAAGATGTACCTATTTATGTCTGACCATTTGTGGACTTTCTACAGTATCTCAGCAAATGATAGCCAACTCACTAAAACTGAGCACACTGTTTTAAGAAAAATAAGACTTTTTGAAGTAAGTGTGGTAAGTTTGGTATCTGGCTAGAGATTCAAAGCATTATAGGTTTCTTTATTTCACTTGTCTCTGAAGAATCATTTCTCAGTGACTTGTTACTAAAAATCCAAAAAACACCCACGCTTTTGCAAAATAAGTCATTTGAGGAGATATAGCAAATCATATATCCTTAAGATGTGGATGCTTGGATTAAAATCTGTCATCTCTTTTCTTGTTTTATAATGTAATGTTGTTCTTTTGGGGTAAAATTTAATAAATGGAATTAAGGGAAAAAGCTAATATTAAATTATATGGACTTAAACTTAGGAAAGCAAGTCATTTCAAAGTAAAGATTGAAATGTAAGTATTTTTAGGCATGCTATGTTGGTTGGGAATTTAGACGGTAGAAAAGGATGTAATAATTTTCTAATTCTTCATGATAGTACAAGTAGTTTCAGTTTGTATTTTGCTGGCTATATAGGCACTTCTCTCCTGCTTGACTTCTTACTAAATAAGAAATCCAAATTAATAAATATTATAAAAAGCGTGTTTTACTTTATTTTACAAGTTAAATATATTGCATTACAAAATTAGGTCCACTCAACTCAGATAATACCTTCATAATTTTAAGAAATAATCTGAGAGTGCCAGTCATAAGGTAAGTTTGCATACTTGGCTGTATTTTATGGTTGTGAGATGAATTCTTAATGTCTGCCAGGACACTTAATATTTCCTTCCACGCTCACCAGTCCCGTGTCCTGCTGCCCGTGACCAGCCACCGCATCAACAGTGAAGTATCAGCTCCACAGCAGAAGCCACCAACAAAGTTCTCCAAATTACTTCAGAGGAGGCAGGTTTTCACATGAAGTTGTTAGGTAGCAAAGCTTAATTACTGTTTTGCATGTTAAGCCAACAGAGATGATAGGAAGTAGAATAAGGAGTTTCTAATCATGTTCTTCAAGGAATATGACCTCCTAGCTCACTATTAATATTCTCTGTATTTGCTTTACTTTTGGAAGAGTACTGGCATCTTTGTCCATTTAGCCAAAGCAAATAATAAAAATGTAAAGAAGTAATTTGACATGAACAAATCTCGGGTGGTTTTTGACCCACTAACTTGCAATCTTTTTTTAAGGTTTGTTTCATACAGCATTGAACATAGTTTTTTCCTCATGGAAAAAAAAAATAACCCAAACAAACCCAAAAATGGAACAGGTTTATGAATGTTTTTGAAGTTTGTTTCAAATGCTTTCTTCTTTCTTAAACTAAGTAGCATTCAACACAAGACAGGTCTGATTGATAGAAACCTGAAAGTGTGTATTAAGGCTGTGTCAGCAGACATCGCACCTTCAGCAGTTTGGTTTTACTAGGTTTTATTTGTTTTAATAAAAGGAATGGAATGAAGAGTTCGCTATCTGTTCATAATTACTTTTTTATTGTGGCAAAATATTCATATTAAAAGGTAATATGTGTGAAATCACAGAATAGTACAGATGCAGGGCTAGATTTGTTTTTCTCCAAATAAAAGCTGAACCAAATCCAATGAAGAAAACTTCATTATTTCAGTGTTAAAAAAAGGCAAAACTCAACAAATTAAAATGTTGTGATTGTAGATATTGAAATGAATTAATTTACATGCCTTAAACACTGCAATAATAAAATAACAATTCAAACAAAAATGAGTGTTATACCATTGAGTGTATTAAAATATATGCAACTGAATTTTTGTCTGTACAGTTTATTGCTGATAATACAGTCTTTGAAACACAGTAGAACCATGTTTCCTCAAAGAAATTAAATGCAAAAGCATCTAAATGTTTTGCTGAATTAGAATTAGGAAGCATAAAGGCAGATCACATAGATTATTCTTAATTTTATGTTGTTCTAGTGTTTATTATTACTGTATTAAGCAGTAATAAGTTTTCTTGCTTTGCCACAAGTACTTTCTGTAGATGATGTGTGAATCATCCACATTTTCCTAGGACTGTTCAGTTAGTGGATTATTTTGTGCATTATGATGGTGCAGACGAGGAGAAATATGGTTGACCCAAGCAGGTGGGGAATCAGGCACATTAGTAGAGAAAGAGATCAGATAGGATCATATATTCTCTCAAAGCTTTTCGTATGAAATAGGTGTATTTTTTAAGACTACAGGTGCTGACTGTTTCTCAAAAACAAAAAGGGGGAGAAATGGAATAAAATGAAGTGAAATTCTCTATGAAGTTAGAGAAAAGGTAACTCTGATACTAGTGAAGCACAGAAAACAAGTAGTTAACTATATCGAAAATTAAAAAAAAAGGTAGCTTGCCAGAATAGAAACTGGAAAGAATGTTCAAACATTATCCTTTTCAAATGGAAGATTTCAGTTTGGTTTGTTCTTCTGTCAAAACAAGTAAAATCCTCTATGACAGTGTTTTCTTATTTCTCTGGTAGAAAAAGATAAGTTTATTAGATGGTACTCAGAATTAGTCAGGAATAACTGAGTCAGAAATGAAAGATCTACAAAACAACAATTGGCTTGAATGAAATAAATGACTTTTCTGACAGTTTTAATGTCAGCTAATGAGCCCTGAGTCAAAGAAGAACATGTCTTTTCAGAAGGAAATAAGTAAACTAGTTATGTTTTCTTATTTTTTTGTCCTGTGATTACTTATGCTTTCATTAAGTGGGAGGAACAAGAAAAAGAATATTGCAGTGTGAGCAAATGTTCATTTCCAGGCTTTCCCAAATAGAGAAACCAATGTCAGATGACTTTTGGTATTGCTGGGGATGCGACTGGAGAGCAGGAAGTCTAACCAAGCCGGGAGCTGAATAGGATCAGGCCCTGGTACATGTATATGTACACAGGTGTTTTTATAATATGGTGATTCGGGCTTTTCTTTTTGGAAATGGCATGTTAGTGTGTTGGGTAGGGAAGATATATGCTTGGTTATAAACCAAATATTCAATTTACTGCTAATATTATTTTAAAATAGGCCACTGAATGCAATTTAATCTGAAAAAGAACCTTAACCTACAAAATATTCCTTCTACCACATTTTATTAGTGAGAAATGCTCCTTAGGGCTCTGATTAAGAGGCCTGAATTCATTCCAAACGAATAAGCTTAGTTTCCCTTTCCAAAATCAGGACGCTGCCTGCTGGGGGCAGTCACTCCAGCCAGGCAACGCAGCCAACCTCTGCCCATGCTGTGGGAGCAGCCCTGTAGGCAGCAGAGCCCACCGCCAGCGGCTGCCCGGCTCCGGGTGTCCTCATGCCATTGCATGCTGCCTGTCTCCCCATCAGCTGCCAAGCCCCTTTCTCAGCCGTGACCCCAGCCGGCTGGGATGCTATGCTGCTCATCAGGCTCTGCGCTGGGAGCTCGGAGTACAAAACTAATACGTGGTGGTAACTGCTGGGTGCTGGAAGACCTTTCCCAGTATTGCTATGAAGGCAGAACATGCGAGCAGAGCTGATTCAGCCCTTTTGCCTTCTGGTCATGTTTTCATACTGTAAGGAAGAGCACAACCACTGCAGGCTGTGGTAGGGCATTAAGGAGAGCCTTGCAAACAGGGCTGTAAATTTGGGCAGATCGAAGAGCCACCTCTGGTCCCAGGGAGCATCTCCAGTCTTGTAACCTGTGCTTTGATTGATGGCCAGGCTCCTCTTGGGTCAAGCCGGGATAGTGGAGAAGCAAGAAGACAAGTATTTCAAAGCATTTCTTCTGTGTATCCTTCTTACTGCAGTAACAGTGTAAAAACATGGAATATAAATTATAAAGTAGCAGTATAAATTGATATCAGCAGCCACTCTCACTTGCCTTCTTGCCCTTAGGGGTGGTCAGAGACAATTAACAGGCATACCGAAGGACAAGCAGAAATACAGTACTGGCAGACAACTCTCAGA